TGTCAGGAAGAAAAATTGAAAAAGAAGACATTTATTAAATAGGTGAAACTTTGACTGTTTTAGGGGTCACAAAAGACTGGGGATTTCCCATGTGTAGAAGCCACTGGGTTTTTGCTGCAGTTATGAGAGAACTAAACTTTCTTTTTGCCCTTTCATGGCTTCTGTGAAGAACCCATGGCCTTTCCCAAGGCCTGGCAAGAGGGGGCTTCCCCTGCATTTCCCAGCAGATGCTGCAAATGGCTCATTCACGCCCAGGCCTGGGATTCTGGGGTCCCCGCTGTGATCTCACACAAAGCAGCAGGGGAGTTTCTCAGCGAGAGCAGTAGCCTTTGTGACTAGTTAGCGATCCAGGAAAAGGCTTCCTAGGAACAGCAGAGCCTTGTGGGGTGTGTGTGGGGGAGGAGGCAGCAGACCTAGGCTTGCTGCCTGGGCCCTGTCACTAGCAGCCATGTAGCCCGAGCAGACAGCTTGCCCCTTGGTACCTGTTTCCTCTTCTGTGAAGTGGGGAGGACAGGTACAGCACAGGGTGACCGGGCGGTGTAGGTTGAACAGAGCACCCGAAGTGCCCGGCACAGCGGCCGGAGGTGCCCCACTCATCTGCAGGCCTCAAACGCTTGGGCCTGCGTTGCATCCCCACAGGGACTGGGTAGGTCAGGTGTGCCTGGAAAAGGACGGAAACTGTACGCTTTGGTCCCTACAGTTTCTGCCTAGAACTCATTCTAATTAAAACCCCCGTGGTCTGAGCCGATTTCAGAAGGACACTGTGGTGCGGGAAATGCACCGCAGGACAGCAAGCTCATGCTCTCCCAGGACATGCCACTTCCCTCGGTGTCCCCATCGCAAACGAGGGGACAGCATGAGTGCAGTGGTTTCCAAGTCGTGTTCTGAAGAGCCCAGGCACCCCCGGTTGCCTCGGGGTTCTGCGGTACTTTCTTTAAAATTTCTTTAGGAAAATATTTTAAGCTATTAATCCAGGTTCTAGAACCAGGCTGACAAGGCTCAAGTCTCAGCTCTAGCACTTACTAGCCATGTGACTTTGAGCAAATTGTTGAATCCTTCTAAGACTCAGCTTCTAGTTTGTTTTAAAGATTTTTATTGACTTATTCTTAGAGAGAGGGAAAGGGAGGGAGAAATGGAGAGGAACATCGATATGAGAGAAACATCAGTTGGGGAACACAGTCTTTGACTGGGGACCAAGTCTACCACCCAGGCCTGTGCCCTGACCAGGAATCAAGCCAGTGAGCATTCACTTTGGGGATGATACCCAACCATACCACACTAGTCAAGTCTTCAGCTTCCACATTGGTAAATTGGGAGTAATACCAAATAAGTATCTACTGAGTAAGGTTGTCGAGGAAATTTAGAAAGTCTACACATATAAATGACCTAGAAAATGCTGGTGTGACTTTGCCAGCCACTGGGCACCACCAGTGTATGGATTTGCGATGCCAGGTAAACTAGCTTCTCTGCCAGACCCCTCAGACTTAGAACGAAATCCGAAGGCTTCGTCCTTGCCTACAACAGAGGTCGACGGACTTTGTGAAGAGCCAGGGAGTGAGTACTTCTGACTTGCAGGCCATGTGGCTTCTACAACATACTTCTACCCTTGTATCCTGGAAGTAGCCACAGGCGATATGTAAATGAATGAGTGTGACTGTGTACTAATAAAACTTGATTTATAGACATTGGAATTTGGGTTTCATATGATTATCTTGTGACACGAACAATATTCTTCTCTGATGTTTTTCAACCCTTATGATTGTGGGCCTTACAAACACAGGCTGTAGAAACATGCCGAGCCTGTGGGACATCCAGACATGGGCTGTGGGCCACATTCTGCTCGCAGGCGACAGGTGGCCTGCACAGAACCCCGTGTCTGCGGGCCTCTCCAACCCTCTTCTCCCACTTCCTGCCATCCTGACCCAGCTTTAGTTCCCTGAGCCCTTCTGTTCTGGCCCAGCTGGCTCCCTCCCACTTGGGGCCTTCTGAGCTCCCTTCTTCCTGGAACCTTCCTCATTTAGCTCTTCACCACAACCAACTTCTATGCAGCCTTCACTGTCATCTGAATGCTACCTGCTCGGGACACCCTACCTGACCATCAGGTCTAAAGTAGTACCCTCTGCCCCACTCTCTATCACAAAACTCAGTTTTTTTTCCCCAGACAGCATTGATCAACAGCTGTAATTATGTATCTTGTCTACTTATGTGTTCATTGCCCATCTCTCTACTACCTGGGCACAGGTACGTTGCTTTCTGGTTTGCTACGGTAGCCCCAGCCTGCCACCCGGCCAGGAACGGTGTTGTCAGTATTGTAGAATGATGGGTGAGTCCACAACCTCAGTATCCTAGCTCCACACAATGAGCTAATAATAAGGGTTGATCTCCTAGCCTTGTAAAATACTGATGAGAATAGAACAAAAATGTGTTTTCAAGACTTTATAAAGTTGTACAAAGGGAAAGGTGGTAAATCATTAAGGCAGCCTCTTTGACAAAGCACAGAATTCAACCACATAGCCACGTTTACTGCAGAAGCTGACTTATGGGGAGAACAGTAAAGTGATATTAGTATGAGTGAGGCCATTTTCGTTCCTTGTCCTTGATATTCCCCTTAGACAAGAAAATGGCTATATATGTAATTTTTATCTAAGTGAGCTCATATGGCTATACATGAGTAATAAGTGAAAGACCTTACTTATTAGCATGTAGTACTAGGCACTTCATATCTGCTGTCCCATTTGATAGTCAGAGCCGTGCCATGAGCAGTCAGTCATCCCATGCCCACTGCGCAGGTGAGACAAGTCTAAGCAGTCCCGCCAGCAGCTGAGCTGGGACCCGCAGCAGCTGTGTGGCTTCTCCGGGACCGTATCTGACTTGTCTGGTTACACACCACAGACCTGCTAGATTGCCCCGTTGGCACACCGGTGACCAGCTAGCTGAATGAACCTCTGTGTCTTTTCATGGCCAGGAGCAAGCCCTCTCTGGGGAGGGTGGAATATGTTGATTTCTGGCAAAATGAAGCATGATCTTTCCTCAGAAAGAAGGCTTTTTTGGTCCGCAACTTCAAAAGACATTTTGTTGATTTTAGCTTAAATAAATCCAAAGCATACTGATTTATTTTCTCTGGATGTTTGCAGGCAGCCTTTATGTACATGGGAAAAGGGTGAAACGAGTTTGGGAGCCCGTCAAGCAGATAACTGAGAACCAGCCACAAGGCTAAACCTAGGATGGCCTGTTGTGGGAAGTGAGCTTAACTGTTAGGGTTCTGCAGGAAGTTAACCTGCCAGGGAAGGAGCTGGTGGTGTCCAGGAAAACCCGCATTCCTTTCCTGGGCATCAGTTTTCACACGTGGTTTACTGAAAATCTAGTGGCTTAACACACTCTTACTTTAAACATGGGCTCTGTGGAAGAGATGAATGACAATAACTACTGATGGAGTAGAACAGCTGTAACAATTGACTGCAGTTAAGTTCTGTGGATGGAGAACGGCAGGGCCACAGCTTTCGGGAGAGCTGGACCTCCTTTCCCTCCCACCCAAATCCTCTTCCCTCCACAGGTGGTTTCTGCAGGGCCTGGCGGGAGGCAGACTGGGTGCAAAGGCGTGCACATGCAGAAGCCCCCAGAGCTTCCTTTCCACCAGCAGGGACGAAGGATGCCTCGCTGGCAGGGGCTGGGCCTTGGGGCTGCCAGAGCATCCTCCAGCTTCCATCAGCAGCAAGGGTCCCTCAGGCCCTGGGCCAGGAGTCGTGCTCTTAGTGGCCACTTGCACAACTGCAATGACCATAGCAACCTAACCTGCAACCGTGGTGGAAATAGAGACCACTCGGAATTTACCATGAGATCGCTCTGCTTGACTGAGGACAGTTTCTCTTTATTAAATTGCCGACAAGCCTCTTGGGTGGAGATGTGCCTGGAATGGGATGAACTCCTTACACCCAGAGGGAGCTGCAGCTGGGAGGGCAGTGGCCAGGAAAGTGCGGATGCCACCGGTGGTTTACAGGTACCATGGCCATACAAGTAGGCGTGGTTTCCTGTTCACATACCTCCTTCTTCAAAGAAATACACCCGAATAACAGGAGAAAAGGACACAATAACCTTATAAAGGAGGAAGAAACCAAAAGACCTCCAAGAATGGGTTTAGAATGGCCTGGGCATTACTTGGGTGGTGTTCTCCTGCTGAGTGGCAATCAGAGAAAGGAGCAGTGCGCACTTCCCACGCATGTCCTGTCTGTACCGAGTCCAAGAGTTCAACAGTGGCAAAGCTGCAGTTTCTGTGGGAGCAATGGCAGACACGTCGCACCACGTTAAACATCTGTATGAACCGACTGCATATGAAGTTGGACTACTAATCACTTTAGCTGTAAACCTACGTGCACTGAACATATTACATGGACTTAAAAATCAAGTTATTTCTTCCGTACCACAGAGGCAATGCTGTTCCTTCCCTTGGCTTTTTCTAATGGCTAGTCACTTTCCTAGGAAAATTCACCACGTTAAAGTATGAAAGAGAAGCAAATCTCATTTTAATCCTTTGTTTAAAGATGAAAAGCATCTGCCATCTCCCACGGAAACACTTCCTTTCACCTCTGTGAATGAAGATTAACCCCAGTGGATGCTGAATGGCTGCTGTCCCCAGCCTACTGGGCCAACTGCTTCCACTCCTCCCTGCCGCTGGCAGCTCTATGCTGTCACACACGGGGCGGGGGGACCACAATTTAAAGGCTAATAACCCTGTGCTCCAGTATCTGAGAAGCTACTGCACGTACAATCGTGACAGTGCCTGTGGAAATGAAGGAGGTTCATCTGCATTCTAACACATATTTTACTTACAGTCAATTCAAAAGAGCAGTTCAGCACTGCTTTCAATTTCAACCCGGGCTGCAGAGGGCCTAGGTTACAAAGGAACACCTCCTCTTTTACCACCCAGGGAAGCCCTTCTCAAAGGCGATGAGATAGGAACTTCTCTCACTGTAGCTCTTCAATCAGTTGCAATAACACTGAGCGACTGAAAGAGTAGGTTTTGTTTAATACAAACACAGCTAGTTGAGTAGGAAAGATACATTGTGGGGATGCTGGACACAATTGGAGGGCCACCGATATGCGTTCCAAATACCACTGACAGGAAAGTGACCGCATCAGCCTAAAATACAAGAAATTAGCAACAGTGATTTACCAAACTGACATCACTCCAGAAAATATTATCTTTTATTTTATTTTTGCAAAATCATTTTTCAAATATAAGGTTATTTTAAAATAATTCTTTGGTTAAAGTATAATTCAAATAAAAAGTAGAAACTCCTGGAAGCCCTTCCTACAGGGTCAACAACATGTCCCTCTTCCAGCCACCAGAATGGCCATTTAACCGGCCACTCAGACTGCACGAATCCGAATGTCACGGAAAACCCTGTGCTCTGAAGTCCAAGCCGGGCTGAAGCGGTGAGCTCCGAGCCACCCCTGTGACAATGGAGACGGGGCCTGGGAACCTGAAATTCTAGCTTGTACGTGGAAATGTGCAGACTATTCTTGTCCAGGGAGGCATAGATGTGGCATTTTAAAACCAAAGAAACCAAAACTCCAGCGCTGATGAATGCTGGGGCACGAGAGGACCGACGCAGCCCCCAGTACACGCAGCAGGATGTTTCGCTCTCAATCCCACATTAAACCCTCTGGCTAATCCCTTCTCAGTTTGTCTCAGACAACCTCCCGCATTAAAAAAACCCCTCTCTACAGGAAACCATCCGGTGTTTGTACCTGGCATGCCCTTCCTCCCTTCCTTTCTTCTCCTGCCCCACCCCACCGACATTTGTTCTTAATTAGCCCCAGGCTCAGATCAAAAACAACCAGTCTAGACTTCACATTGTAATACCAACCCAGAGCATTTGGATGAGTATGAAATCATGTTTCTTTTGTTATTCAACATGATTTCCAAGAATTTCTCATTTGGAGCTCAAGTTTAGTTGTTTAAATAGGTAGATGTGAAAAGAGAATTTATTGTGAGTTCAGATATTCAGGGCATTTTTAAAAGCAACCTGGATTATTACAGCAGAGGAATAAACTCTTGGTTTACTCAAGGTTTTCCACCCAAAGTATTCAGAGAACCATTTCAGACTTCTGCCTCCTTTTGCCCATGTAGACAACAGCCCAAGGCTTTGTCTGCTTTGGACTAAGGACCATGGGTGATGGCCCAGCTACACTGACCTATCAGGTTGCCACAGGACGCAGACAAACCAGAGGGAGGGAGGGGATAGCCTGTTCTGTTCTGTGTAAGTACAGACACACCCCTGAACATACTGCTACTATTTTCAAGGAAACTGCATGAGAGGTATTCAAGCATGATTCGGAGCACTGAAAGACCATGAAAATTCGTGCAGAATGTAATAAACATTAGAGATCTGACTCCCTTCCTTACAGATAAAAGAATGAATGGCAGCCACATTACATGAACTGCAATGTGATGTTTCTCTTAAACCCCTTAATGAGAGTATTTCACCAATTTTAAGGTTAAAACATTTATATTACCAATGTCAGCATAGAGTTAGTTCTATACTCAGAAGCTGGTGTTTGTGCAATGCCAGAAGAAATCAAGAATTGCTCCCTAAAATGTAAAATTTATGACATGTTTCTGTAAGTGACTTTTAACCCCCCCCCACTACAATCCTCTTGCTGATTAACACACATGGACAGCATTCTTTCACTCTTCTTTCCAGGGAATCATCACATTCCCATTCCCCAGAGGCGCATAGACCTATTATTTATTTATTTATTTTTAGAGCGATGGGAGGGGAGGGGGAAAGAGGAGAGAAACATCAGTGTATGGTTGCCTCTCTGTGCCCTGACTGGGAATTGAACTGGCAACCCTTTGGTTTGCAAGCTGGCACTCAATCCTCTGAGTCACACCAGCCAGGGCTGTTTTCTATACACCATATTTACCGTATTTTATGCATTTGGGTTTTGAAGCTTACGCGATGCTACAATATATATTGATATGTTTTGCACTAATGCTCTTTAAGTACTGGGATTTCATTTTGCACACATATGCTACACAGACCAGACCAGACCAGACCAGACCACTGTCTGCTGCCGTCAGCACTCTGCCCGTCACACAATCAAGTAGACATTGATAACTGATGTTTTGGCTTGATTGTCATTTATTTTCTTTAGCTAAACTGCCTCTTGATTCAGGAAGCAGGTGTGAAGGGAAACCACAGGATGTGCTGCTCCCAACTCTCCTTAAGTTGCCCTACCTACATGTGTAAAATTATTATAGAAAAACAAACACAGAAGGACAGCCTGCATGGCCGCGCTGTCATGACTGTCATTTCCGTTAGCTCCCTGACTTCGTTATGCATCCCTGCTACAACTGGTACATTTGTGGATGTCCTGTTATGATGGACATGTGCTATATGTGAGTGGACAATGACCTGACCCTTGGTATGGTTTCTAGATGTCCATATTGCACAAGAATGAGCTTTTTGCTGACTTGAAAAATGTATGTCACACACATCCTTTCAAAACGTCAACTGCCTTAACCCAGTGACCATAGTCCAGACTCCAGAGCCAAGGACAAGCAACCACGGTGATTCAGAAGTCGGTGGCTCTTTCAGTTGCAACATGGTGTTAATTCAGAGTCACTTTATATTTTGCAAGTTCTTTGCTCCTACAGTTGAATACTTCACACATTTATCTTATTTTCCTCCTGAGTAGCTAAAAGTGCTTTGGAGAGCAAGTGTGCCTTGTCCCCCACTTCACAGATACAGGCAGCTGCTCTGGAGAAACCTGGCAGCACCAGAGGAACGTCCGAGTCCTCAGGGCATGCGTGCGGACCCAGCGGCGCTGGGGGTCACACTGAGAGCAGAATTTGATGCGCAGCTTAGAACGATGCTCTGCAGGGCACGTTTTCTGAGAGCCTGACGAGAATCCTTCCGCGTGGTTTTGTCTGACCGGAACACGGTGTTAAAGGGAAAGTCCCGTCCCTACACTGGCAGCTCAGTTGCCGCAGCTGGAGTCTGGACCCTCCTTCCTCCTGCGTCCTTCCTCCAGCCGGGCTGGCGCCCCCACGGGAGGGCTCAGGGGCCTTGGCGGTGGGGAGAGAGGAAGGAAGGAAGGGAGGATACCTCCTCTGCCTTAGCAGGTGCCTCAACTTAGGGCGATGACCCTCGAAAGCCTTGTTAGCTAGGTAAGAGTCCAGAGATAGAGAACGAATTTTATCCCTGAATCAAGTTTTTTTTTCCTTACGGTCTCATCACAGGAATTTTAAAGCATCAAAGGAAGTATGCAAATTATTCTCAGCTGTCCACTTATAATGGGGTGCAGACTTTTTCACTGTTCTAAACACACAAAAAGACACTTATCCAAAAGCGTTTTCAAGCCCCTTCCTTCTTCACTGGTGTGGTTCAGTCTTGTAGCAAGGTCTCCCTCCAGTTGAAGCCCCCAGTCGGCCCATGGGTAAGAGGAAGGATAGGTGGGTCTGTCAGCTGCCATATTCCAGTTTCTCCCAATTCTTCACAGGAACAAAAGCCCAAGTATGGAATCTGCAGTGAGAGTAGTAATGAAGTGGGAAGTAGAAAAGAGAGGTTTAATGCTTCCAGTTTTTTTTTTAAAACATTTTATTTATCTTTAGAGGGGAAGGGAAGGAGAGAGGGAAAGAAACATCAATGTATGGTTGCCCCTTGTGCGTCCCCTGCTGGGAAATGGCCTGCAGGGAACCGGCCTGCAACCCAGGCATGTGCCCTGACTAGGAATCAAACCGCGATCCTGTGGTTCGCAGGCCTGCGCTCAATCCACTGAGCTACACCAGCCAGGGCTAATGCTTCCAGTTTTACCCAGACACAAAGACTTACAGGTGGCCCTCGAGCATAAGGAGTATTCATAGGAATCAGTAGGGGCTTGCCAGACAAGCACACCTCCCAAATCCATAAAGAAAATGAAATGGGAGAAGCTGACAAGTTAGAGGGAAGAGTATTTACACTGCAAGAGGATTCACTAGAAGCATGTATTAAATTGTGAGCTCCTCTAGTGCAATTACTTACTCAGTTCGAGCTGGCTTCTTAACAGTGTGGGAGAAAAGAGGGCAACATAGAAAGCTAAGGCGCTCCTAATTTCCTACAAGTCAAGCTAAAACCGCAGGACAGGGGAAAGTGGTGGTGGGGAAATGGAGACAACTGTACTTGAACAACAATATAAAAAAAAAGAATAGTATATGAAATGGAGAAGCCAACTTATATGTATGGCCCATGGACATGAACTGGAGGGAATGGGGGTACTGGGCAGAGGGCAAAGGGGGAAATTGGGACAACTATAATAGTATGATCAATAATATATATTTATTTATATATACTTATTTATTTATTTAAAAACTGCATCTTAAACACTTCTGACATGATACTTAGACAACGGGAAGGTGACTCAGTTTTTGAAGAGTTGTGCATTTGTTTTACCCAGCTTTGTTTATTTATGTATTTCCATGTGTGTTCACGGCATCTAAAAGCTTATTTTGTGTGTGTGTGTCCAGAGCTGCATTTATAAACAAGACAGAAATCTCTGCCCTCCAGCAGCTTACAGAGTAAAGAGAAAGACAGATGCATAAATAAGCTTTTAAAAAATGAGAAGACTGTTGCAATTGAGCTTGAGCCAGTCTCTGGGGGCATACGGAAGAATCGTATTCATCAGCCTGGAGGGAGGTGTGTGGGAGGGTGGCTGACAGAGAAGGAAGAACCCAGATGTGTGGGTCAGCCTCACGGCCTCTGGCTCACTGCCCTGTTTCTGGGTTTGCCTTTCCGTCTGACATTTGAAATCACTGCTTCCTGTGGCCCACCAGCCAGGACCTCGCTTCTGGCTGAGGTCTGCCCCCACCCCCTTCATCCAATCCACAGTAGTCAAGGAAAGCCAGACAATTTGCTTGTAATCTTCAGCTACTTCTAAATTTTAACTCTAAGACTAGACCTAGGTCAAACATGTCTTTTTCTCTTACACAGGCCTAATAAAGCACGTTACACAGAGGACCACTCAGTGCTTCTTGGTCGAGTGAATCAATAAATGTACCTTCCCAGCTCAGAGCACATGCCTCAGAGAACCTAGTTATCAGCCAGGCATTGAACTGTTCTAAAATGACAGGGCACCACAGGCCCCCAGAAAACAAGTGTGAGTTACCTTTCGGACCATTTGTACAAAGTCCTTGGAGTTCTGAGGGGACAGGCCCTGAAGTTGGCAGGTACACGCTTCGAGGGATGATGCATGGGCCACAATCAAGATGTTATTTCCTGGGGGGTGAAAAGCAAGGACTAAGAAGACCATTTCTATACAGACACATGTAAACTCTGTGAATGCTGGAAGCCAAGTGTTCTGGGCAGGGGCAAACAGTCTGGAGAAAGAGACAATTTGGCCAAACAATATTCTGAAAATGCTTTGTATTGTTAAGGCAGCTTCATGTCATTAAAAAACCTATTAATCTTAAAATAATTATAGGTTCATAGGAGGTTAGAAGTGTAGCACACTTGTAAATATATGAAGCTACTGTTGGCCCTCGGACAACATGGGTTTGAATTGTGTAGGTCCACGTACGTGCAAATATTGTTCACTAACTATTGTGAACAGATCTTCTCTCCCTTAGAATTTCCTTAATAACTTTCTTTTGTCTAGCTTACTTTATGGTGAGAATACAGTATGTAATACATAAAACACACAAAATATGTGTTAATGGACTGTTCAGTGAGGCTTCCACTCAACAGTAGGCTCTTCGTAGCATTTCTGGGGAGTCGAAGTGCCACGTGGATTTCCAGCTGCACGGAGGTTGGCACTCACAACTCTGTGCTCATTGAGGGTCAGCTTTATGTACTATATGTTCACAACAGGACTGTGTATGACACGTGCCACACACACCATACTGTGTATCCATACACAGTGTGTGGGTGTGTACACAGAGTGTGTACACTGCACACACACACATACTGGGAAGGTCCCGTGCACCCTTTACCCAGTCTCCTCCGATGTCTTGCCTAATTGGCATTTTATCACAACCAGGAAATGGACAATGGTATAATCCACATAGCTCATTTAAGTTTCCCCAGGCTTTCTTAATTCTGTCACATGTGTAACTTTTTGGAAATATACCACAATCAAGATACAAAACTGTCCTTTGCCTACAGTTCTCTCTGCTCCTCTTAGTATAGTTCTCAGTGTTGCCATGTAGACCTGTGAGCACTGGCGACATTCTGGTTGGTGGAACATGCTGGGCGTCATTACAGGAGGGCCATGGAAGTGGAAGTAGTGTGAGTGGCTTTGCGAGTGACAACTGAGAGGTGGGAATCATCTGCAGCACTGCTGACCGGGGGTCTCCACTGTTAACAGTTCAGTGTGTGTAATTCTAGGCTTTGCTCTATGAAGATACATATTTTAACTTAAAAAGCATTGGGAATGTTTATACCCTTTTGCAACCTGCCTCTTTACTAAAAATTTTATAGTGAATAGTCAGTTTTACATATCATTAACTATTGTAGTTCGATGTTTATAAAATTCAATACCAAACAGACTGGAGCCTCATAGAACACTTCCTGCTTGGTGACGACAGTGGCAGTATGTGTGCTTGCGTAGGTGTATTTGTGTGTAGATGTTCATGCTCTGGATCAATTATGGGAAAAACAATGTTAGGTTAAAGGACTTGTAGAAATTGTAACAGGGAACCTCCTTCACAAAGTGCAAGATAAAGAGCTCTCATGTCAAAATCTAAGTTACTTCATTTTGAAACTAAATTTGGTGTATTCCCATGGAATACCCACCATTTTAGGTATCTAAGAGAATATTACAAATTTAATATGAAGGTATCTACAAGAGAGTCTGGAAATATTTTTATTTATTAAGCAAGTCAGCAAGTCTGGCAAAGCAAGTTGAAACATTTTGAACAGCTTATTAACCATGATGGAAAAGTGGTCACATATTTGAATATAGAGTCCAAAATAATACCACTTACCTTTACTTTTACATTCACTTAATATTTCTTTTGTTACTTGAAAACTTCTATTGATATAAGTGTCATAGGACTCTGAAACCACTAATTTGCTGACTGGAATATGAGGTCTGTAATAGAAAAATAAACAAAAGCAATAGAACACTTTGGTCTTAAGACAAAGCAACTGATATTACTCTTAAGTTTCATTTCAAGACCCTTCTAAAGTTTCTCTAATTCTGTTTATCCATTTCCCAGGGAAAGGGAGGAGGTAGAGTATTTCCACTATATAGACATGGGGTTGAAATGTACAAAATGTACAGATAGAAAGGCCAGGGGTGCAGAGTGTCAGAGTGACCAGTTGAAAAATGAAACATTTGGTGCCAGTTTCACATGCAAGACGATTCATAAACAAGTCATTATGGACAATGGGAAGCAAAGAGGAAATTAGGTCTTACTATCGATTTAGAGCACCAGATACTTCCGAAGCCTCTCTTCAGTAGCCTTACAAACAATAACCTGTAAGGGTAGGCTTTATTTTTAACATTTTTCCAGCTTTACTGCAATATAATTAGCATACAACATTGTGTCAGGTTAGGGTGTACAGCATGTTCATTTCACACACATATATTACAAAATGATTATCACCATACCTTTCGCTAACATGCCCAGCACGTAACACAATTACCACTTCTATTTTTAGGGTGACAACATTTAAGATGCATTTTCTTAGCAACTGGGAAGTATAAAATATACTATTAACTATAATCAACATGCTGTACATTAGCTCCCCAGAACTTATTTACCCCATACTGGGTAGTTTGTACCCCCTGACTGGAATCTCCCCATTTTCCTCCACTCCCTGGTAACCACCACTCTATTGTTGGCTCCTCTGAGTTTGGCTTTTGTAGGGTCCACATAGACGATATGTGCAGAAAATCCCTTGTTTGAGATCCTGTTTTCATTTCCTTTGGATACATACCCAGAGTTGGGATTGCTGAATCATATAGCAACTCTATTTTTAACTTTCTGAGAAACCTCTGTTGTCTTCCACAGAGCAACGCCAATGCACAATCCCGAGAATGCTGTAGAAAGGTTCCTTTTCTTCACATTCTCGACAACACATGACTGTTCCTGGGTTTTGATGATCGGCATCCTGACAAGTGTGAGGTGCCGTCTCATTTCATTGATTAGTGATGTTAAGCATCTTTTCATGTACTTGTGGGCCATTTGTATGTCTCTTTGAAAACATAGCTGTTGGGTTCTTCTGCCAAGTTTTTAAATAGAAGTTTTGTTCTTCAACTAGTTTATATTCAGTATTTTGTATTAATTTTAGGTGTACAGCATAGTGGTTAGGGCAGACTTTACAAAATTGCCTACGTGATCTTTGCTGTACCCAACTGTACATAGTTATTTGAATATTATTAACTGCATTCCCTATGCTGAACACCCAGTCCCCAACCCACCTCCCCTGTGGCAACCAATGGTCTGTTCTCTGTATTTATTCCCTCTGTTCTTCAGATCCTACAGATAAGTGAAGTCATATGGTATTTGTCTTTCTCTGACTGACTTATCTCACTTAGCATAATAATCTCTAGGTGCCTCCATGCTTCTGCAGATGGTAAGATTTCATTCTTTTTTTATGGCTGAATCATTGCATACTCAGTGCCACCTCTTTATCCACTGTCTACTGAAGGGCTCTTGGGTTGCTTCTGTATCTTGATTATTGTAAATAATGCTGCAATGAACATCGGGGTATTTATATTCTCAGGAATTACTGTTTTGATTATTTTTGAATATATGCCCAGAAGTGGAATTGCTGGGTCATAAGGCAGTTCCATTTAAAAAAATTTTTAAGTATTTTTTATTGATTATGCTATTACAGTTTTCCCAATTTTCCTCCCTTTATCTCCACTCTACCCTGCCCCCCATCCCTCCAGCATTCTCCCCGCTTAGTTCATGTCCATGTGTTATACGTGTAAGTTTTTTCAGTCCTTGTTTCCTATACCATTTTTATATCTCCCCCCATCTATTTTATGCCTACCAATTATGCTTCTTCCCTGTATCTCCCCCCCATATCTCCCTTCCCCCTCCCCACTGAACTCCCTCCGTGTGATGTCCATCTCTCTGATTCTGTTCCTGTACTGGTTGTTTGCTTAGTTTTTGTTTTCATTGTTTTTCTTTACTTTTGGGTTCATTTGTTGATAGTTGTCTGTTCATTGTCATTTTATTGTTCATATTTTACCTTCTTTTTCTTAGATAAATCCCTTTAACGTTTCATATAATATGGACTTGGTGATGATGAACTCCTTTAACTTGATCTTATCTGGAAAGCACTTTATCTGCCCTCCCATTCTAAATGATAGCTTTGCTGGATAAAGTAATCTTGGATGTAGGTCCTTGCCTTTCATGACTTCAAATACTTCTTTCCAGTCCCTTCTTGCCTACAAGGTTCCTTTTGAGAAATCAGCTGATAGCCTTATGAGAACTCCTTTGTAGGTAACTGTCTCCTTATCTCTTGCTGCTTTTAGGATTCTCTCCTTATCTTTAATCTTGGGTAACTTAATGATGATGTGCTTCAGTGTGTTCCTCTTTGGGTCCAACTTCTTTGGGACTCTCTGGGCTTCTGGGACTTCCTGGAAGCCTATTTCCTTCACTGGATTGGGGAAGTTTTCCTTCATTATTTGTTCAAACAAGTTTTCAATTTCTTGCTGCTATTCTTCTCTTTCTGGCACCCCTATGATTCGGATATTGGAACGTTTCATGTTGTCCCAGAGAATCCTCAGCCTGTCTTCATTTTTTTGGACTCTTGTTTCTTCATTCTGATCCAGTTGGATGTTTATTTCTTCTTTTTGTTCCAAAACGTTGCTTTGAATCCTGGTTTTCTTCTTGGCACTGTTGGTTCCCTGAATATTTTGCTTTATTTCATTTTGGGTATCTTTCATTTGCTCTTTCATTTTTTGACCAAGCTCAATCAGTTCTGTGAGCATTTTGATTACCAGACCTTTAAACTGTCCATCAGATAGATAGGCTGACAATCTCATCACTTAGTTCTCTTTCTGAGGTTTTGCTGTGTTCTTTCATTTGGGTCGTATTTGTTTGTCTTGGCACAGCTGATAGGTTGTAGGGGGCGGAGCCTTAGGTGTTCACCTGTGCAGGGTAACCCTCTTCAGTGCTGCCTGTGGGGGAGGGACCAGAGAGGACACACTGCAGCTTGTCTGCTTGTCTCTAGTGCACTTTCCAACAGACTCTGTGTCAGACTGGCAGTATCTCCCACCGCGGCAACCCCAGCCTTAGCCTGTAGTCAGCTCTGAGTCTCAGTTTTCTTCTTAAGTCGGTCCCTCTAGCACAGCTCTGCAGAGCACAGCAGTCAGCCCCTCCCCTTGGCCACCTTGCCAGGGGTTTTTCTGAGTCCACCAGCATGGTCTGCCTTACCAGTCTGGTTGTTCTGGTTGATTTTTTCTTAATTCCTTGGTTGCTGGAGTTCCACAAAGTTTTATTTTCTGGTGTCTTTGGTTGTTTATTGATTTTAGATTGGTCGTTATCCTCCTTTTGGTTGTGTGAGGAAGTGAAGGGTTTCTATCTACACCTCCATTTTGGTCGGAGGTCCCATTTTAAATTTTTTGAGGACCCTCCACACTGTTTTCCACAGTGGCTGCAACAACCTGCATTCCCACCAACAGTGCACCGGGGTCCCCCTTTTCTCCACATCCTCACCAGCATTTGTGGACTTATTGATGATAGCCATCCTGACAGGTGTGAGGTAACTCATTGTAATTCTAATTTGCATTTCTCTGATGATTAGTGATGTTGAGCATCTTTTCATGTCTATTGGTCATCTATATGTTCTCTTTGGAAAAGTGTCTATTCAGGTCCTCTGCCCACTTTTAAAAAAAAAACTATTTTATTATGCTATTACAGTTGTCCCATTTTTCCTCTTCACTCCCCTCCATACTGCACACCCCCTCCCACCCTCTGTCCACTTCTTAACTGAATTGTTTTGTTTTGTTTTTATTGTTAACTTGTATGAGGTCTTTATAAATTTTGTATATTAACCCCTTATTCAATATATCATCGATGAATATCTTCTCCCATTCAGTAGGTTGTGTTTTAGATTTGCTGATGGTTTCCTCTGTTGAACAAAACCTTCTTAGTTTGATGCATCAGTCTGTTGTCTCCCATGTGTGTCCTGGCCGGTGATCAAACAGTCTCATTTGTTTACTTTGTCTTTTATTTCTCTTGACCAAAACTGGGTATCAGAAAAAAATATTGCCAAGATAATGTCAGATATTTTACTGCCTATGTTTTTCTTATACAAGTTTTATGGTTTTGGGTTTTACTTTGAAGTCTGTAAACCGTTTTGAGTTTATTTGTGTATATTTATGTGTATGGTTTACTTGAGTTTATCTATGTAAGAAGGTGATCTGTTTCACTTTTTTCCATGTATTTGTCCAACTTTCCCAACCCCATTTACTGAATAAACTGTCTTTACATGATTGTATGAGCTTGCCTCCTTTTTCAAATATTAACTGACCACACAGGCACGAGTTTATTTCTGTCTCCATTCTGTTCATTGATCTGTATGTCTGTTTTTATGCCAGTACCATGCCATTTTGGTTACTATGGACTTGGTACAGTGTGATACCTCTAACTTAGTTCTCTATTTTTTTTAAATTTGTTTTTGTTTTTCTTAACCCTCACTGGAGGATATGTATATTGATTTTTAGAGAGAGTTAGGGGGAGGGGGAGAGAGAGAGAGAGAGAGAAACATCAGTCTGTTGTCTCCCATATGTGTCCTGCCCGGTGATCAAACAGGCAACCTAGGCATGTTCCCTGACCAGTAACTGAACCCACAACCTTTTGGTGTACAGGCCGATATTCCAACCAACTGAGCCACCCAGCCAGGGCTCCAACTGTGTTCTTGGTTGAGATTGCTGTGGCTGTTTGGGTTCTTTTCTCTTTCCACATCAATTTTTGTATTATTTCTTATAGTTCTGAGAAAAATGATATAGGTATTTATGTAGAAATTGCATTGAACCTATTGATTGCTTTGGGCAGTATGGACATATTAATGATGTTAATTCTCCCTGTCCATGAAAATGGTATATGCTTCCATTTATATCTTCTTCAA